GCCTCATAAATGCTATTTTTATCACATTATAAAATTTCAGTGTTTTTATGTAATTATTATCCATATACTCATCTTTACCATTAAAGCTTCACTAGAACTTGCTTTTGATATCAACTTCCAAACTTGACATAGTACTAAGAAGTTGCTATTATCTAATTTTCTTTTTTTTGTATAACTGCTAAATTTTTGTATATTTTCTAAACAACTGAATCAAAATAGATCTGTTTGGCCAGGTCACTGGCCTAGTAATAGCTAGTGACGTCCAATATAATATAAATGTATGTATTTAACACCTCACTACTGAAAGGGTGACCAGTACCACTGCCAGTATCTGGGAGCTTGTTAAGAAAAGTGGACTCTCAGGCTCCACTCTATAAACTACTCAATCAGAATCTGTGTTTTAACTAGATCCCCAAGCAATTCACAAACACATTAAAGTTGGAGAACTAGTCTAGTATTTCACCAGAGCCTGCTTCTCTCTCATGTCTCCACTCCCTGCTCCCACTTTCAGAAGTACCCATGACATTTTCCTTTCAGATACCTTAGAATCTGAGTATGATGAAAGTTACCTTTCCTATCCCTCTGCCATCCTCATGGGTCTGTCCCAGAGGGTCTCCTCCAAGTCTCTGCTCCTCAAAAAGGGAAAAGCCTCAAAAAGTACAGGCTCTAGAGCCATGCTAGTTGGGTTCATTTAAACTCTGACTCTACTCATTACTATAGATGGGACCTTGGGCCAGCACACTGCGACACTGTGCCTCAGTTTTAGGTGTAATAGGAATAGTATTGTCATGCATGTTAGCTATTATCCTCTGAAATCAAGGCCTTAACAGCTGAGTATTTAGGAATTTCTCCTCGTCTTCTGCTGATGGTGCTTCTATCACAAGATGGTTTATTCATTTGGACTTCTGCTACTGAATCAACTAGTTCCACCTTCATCTGGGGATGATTTCATAAAACTTCCTGAATCAACACAGTCCCCAGGCTTTTTGGACTTGGAGTGTCCACCTGGTAAACATACGTGAATGAATCTCCTGTTAGAAGCTTTAAGAATGAGGCAGCCATCTTCTTCAAGGTTCAACAATATTCTGAGGAAAGTGAGCACAGGGAACAATCCGGGAAGGAGACAGTTGAAGGAGAAAGCCAGAAGAATTTCAGCACTGGTGGGAGGAAAGGGGGAAATGGGGACATATATTGTCTAGTGGAGAGTTGTCTGGTAACTTAATTTTCCCAACAGAACATGATGTTCGCTGTAGGTTTTCCACAGATGCACTTTATCAAATTAAGTTTTCTTCTATTCCTAGTTTCCTCAGAGTTTTAAGTCATGAATCAGAGTTGAATCCTGTCAAATGTCTGTCTGCATGTATTGAAGTGATCATGAGGGATTTCCTTTATTTTATTATGGTAGATTATAGTAACTGACTCTTCTAATTTTAAAACGACCCTGCATTCTGAGATAAACTCGACTTGGTCATAAGGTATTATGTTCTTTATATACTGCTGGATTCAACTAGCTAATAGTTCAATAATTTCTGTATCTATGTTCATGATGTATATTGGTATGGCCACTTTCTTTCCTTGAAATGTCTTTGGCTCGTTTCGCTATTGGGGTAATACTTGTTTTCATTTTTTTTAAAAAATAGGGTAAGTATTCCATTTGCCCCTATTTTCTGAAAATCTCTGTAGAATTAAAGCTTTTTACTCCTTAAATGTTTGCTAGAATTCACCAATAAAGCAAAGTGGACCTGGAGTTCTTTTGTATGAAAATTCCTGATAATTTCTTTAATATTAAAACTATTCACATTTTCTGTCTTGTATCAGTTCTAGTAAGCTGTATTTTTCAAGAAATTTGGTGACTTTAATTTATTGGTTTAAATTTGTACATAATATTCCTTATTGTCCTTTTAACATCTGAAAGATCTAAATAACATTCTTGATTTCATTCCTGATAGGGATAATCTGTCTTTTAGGTTTTTCCATCACTTTGCTAGAGGTTTAATTTTATTAATATTCTCAAAGACCAACTTTTGGCTTTGTTAACTGTATTACCCTGTTTTCAATATCACTGATTTTTGCTCTTGCTTTTAATATTTCTTTCTTCTACTTACTTTGAATTTTATTGCTCATTTTTTCCCCCTCTAGTCTGCTCTTTTAAATATATAAATATTTAAAGCTATAAAAGTAAGGAAGCAAGTACAATTTTACTGATTTGGCCTTTTGTTAGCTTATTTCTCTGGATTATTAAATCTTGAAAAAAATTTCTAAAATTTTTATAGGTAAATATTTTCAGGATAATCAGTAAATTCTACCATGGAGAGAGTATGCACGTAAACATAAAAAATGATTATAAGAATATACAAAGCCTAGTTAGCATTCCTGTTACATAACCCCTGGTTTTTCATTCCATTCCAAGCTGGATATGTGTTTATTCTAAAGATGCTTGAATTTTAAGAACTCTCAGTTCCTGTTTTGGATGCTATGTTGTAATTACCAATGACTCATTCACCAAGTTTTTGGATATAAATGAAGGTGAGGTATGACTTCAGTTCATTTTAATGCTTTGACTACACTAACTGCATCACTGGTACACTGTAAAGATTAAATTTTCCTGTTATGAAGTTATCTACATTTATGTAATAAGTCGTCTTTAGTTATTGCTCATACAAGCTTTACATATATATATATATATATATATATATATACATTAAGCTTTTTATATTCATCTTTGGAGATCTATCTCCCTTTTAAATAATTCATTTTTGAGTTCTAGTTTTTAAATACTGAAAAGGGTAAATGCATACAGGTGGCGCAGTGGTCAAGAAATCTGCCTGCCAGTGCAGGAGATGTGGGTTCAATCCCTGGGTCAGGAAGACCCCCTGGAGAAGGAAATGGCAACCCACTCCAGTATTCTTGCCTGGGAAATCCCACAGACAGAGCCTGGTGGGCTATAGTCCATGGGGTCATAAAGAGTTAGACATGACTGAGTGAGCACACACGCACACACAATAGTACCAAAAATGATTTTCACCATAAAATTCCTTTAAGAGTTCTCTTTAAAGGAATTATTGTACTATCAAGTGAAACTTTTTCAAACTCAATCCGTGAAGATATTCCTTCTTAAATATACATACAACCAAATGAATTTCTGTATATTTCAGAGATAATAAAATATTTTTGCTAATTTATCTCAAAACATAGGTATTAGTGACCTTCTCTAATTAGGTCAGGTAGTAGGGAAAAAACCCAATGCTTTTTTTTGGTTGTGCTGGGTCTCAGTGTTGCTTGGACTTTCTCCTGTTGCAGTGAGCAGGCTTCTCATCGCAGTGGCTTCTCTTGTTGTGGAGCAAGGCTCTAGTGCATGGGCTTTAGCGGCTGCACACAGGAGCTCATGAGTGGTGGCTCACAGGTCCAGAGCGTGGGGGCTCAGTAGTTGTGGCTCATGGACTTAGTTGCCCAAGCTATGTGGAATCTTCCCGGACCAAGGATCAAATCTGTGTCCCCTGCATTGGCAGGCAGATTCTTATCCACTGTACCACCAGGGAAGTCCTCTGATAAATTTTCTATTTAGCATAAGGTTAGGTTGGAAGAAAAGGCTTTTGATTTTAAAGGCCAAATGGAAAGCTATTTTATTTTGTGAGCCAAGAGAGGATACACTTCAGTGGGACGAAAACTGTACCTATCAAGATGACTTTTGCTCCTGACAATTTGACCTTTTTTTAAAAAAAGGTAAACATTTAAAAATCATATATCATTTCAGCATCTTATTTTTAAGAAATCCAACATTTTGGCATAAGACAAATTTATACAATTAAACTCTTCAAAACATAATATGGCATATATTATTTTTCCACAGGGCATCAGATACTAACAGATATAGACCACTTTGTTAAATAACAAAAATCATATGAAAATCAACACAGTATTTCATTTATTTACTGTATAAGTCTGGCAAACAGCACAAAAATTCAGCAACATTTCAAACATGTAAAAAAGTCAAATGTTGAACAGTACTGAAAAATTTTTTTTTACATAATTAGTAATAATGAGTATACATGTAGAGTTCTGCAAAGCTAGCAAATTCCAAGGGTGCTTGGCTTCTGAACATATACCACAAAAACACATACACAAAAGCAATATAATTTATCTTTATAAAAATTATAGCCAAGCAATAAAAAAGGATGATAATAATGAAGATAATAATACATATGTTCACTACATATATCTTATACATTGAAATGCTACATCTTGTACCCTGAAATGCCATGTGTAGAGAGCCAAGCAGAGTAAATTTAGGCTCATCACTGAGGTTAAGAATTATTTAAGAATTTAATGCTTGTATATGTAACATACTCAAAACTTTCTATATAGCAATTCCTAGATTATAACAATGTATTCCACTGAGAAGCTGAGTCTTCTTTGTTGGCAGTATAAAATTTTGACCATATCAAAATTCTGGTAAAACACACACTGAAGGCATTGTCTAGTGTATGTAATGTTTGGGGGCATTAATGAATGTAGGAGAAATTCTTAGATTTCACACTAAATTTCAGCTGAGCTTTGTCAAACCAAACAGCTCAACTGTAAGGCAAGAAAAATTAACCCTCTGTGATAGATTAGTGGGCCTTACCAAATAAAGATAAGAATTCAGTCTTAGGGAAAGACTCCCTACATAAGCAGATATGAAACAGTGGGCACTTGAAACGAACTTCTAGAAATGACCTAACATCTTGACATTCAGACACTGGTTCAGAAGCAACAATCTGTTGGTATATTTTATCTAATTAACATTTTACAATCAGCACCAGTCCCCAAAACCTCAAATTATAATATTTAATCTTCATTAAAATACATCCTTTTGTGCTATATTAATATAATCAAATTAATGAAAGTTGAACTTACTCAACTTACTATATATTTTTGTGTATGCAGGGTAACAAATCTTTTTATTTACTTGTGCTTCTGTTTTGGGGTACTTTGATTGAAGAGAAATTCATTTCACAGGATTACATCTTGCTAAAGCATTCCTTAGCATTGGTCCAAACTTGAATTCCCTTTTAAAACAAACCAAAAAAAAAAAAAGGCCCCAAAACCTTAAAATGTAATTTTGGAAGGATTTTGAAAGGCCAAGTACTTGGCTTACTGGTATGTTAGGTTTCAACTTTTGGAATAATTAATAAGTACAACAAACAGAACACTTTTTCTGGCAATGGCAAATATAAGTCAAAGTGAAATACTTGTGAAAAAAGTAATAGAATCATTGTATGAGCCTGTTTTCAAAACAGATACAGAACTCCTACTTCTTTTTGAAAGACTCATTTACTCATATCATATATTCATATCATTTCTACTTATAAAACAAACAAGTTTTGCAATATCTAAAACAAAAAAACCTGATTAGTCTAACAATTAAATATTATTAATTTATTAACCTAATAACCAATATTTTGATAAAAAGTTATGAACTCCCTCTCAGTGGTTACAGCAGGCTATTTAGCAAAAACTAACATGCTATTATATACCTAATAGGCTTAAACAAAAATGCATGTTTGTAAAAAATGTAATAGTAAAATCTAGACAGTGGTGGAAGGTATGTTTTCAACAAACAAGATATATATATATCCTGTTTATATATATATATATTCTTCAATAACTGCTAATTTATCAAGAAATTTTAATACTTACACATTAAAGTTAATCAATATTTATTGAGGCTTTGAAAAATAGGAAAAAAATTAATCTTTTTAGCTTTTTTTCCTCCCTGATGAAACACAAAAAGAAAAACAAAACAAAACCACACAAGAATCCTTTAATGTCCCAGACTGACTTACTAAATGATTTACTGAGATAAAGCATGCTGAATCACTCAATAAATTAAGAAGCACTAGAGAAATGTAAAGCACCAGTACTGACTGGTGATCACACAGGCAGCTCTGGGGTTCTGAAAATGAGGTTAAGGAATATTATACATTTTGTTCTTACAACATCATTTTAAAAAATTTCCATCACTGCCAAAACACTTATTTTAACCAGAATAAGCTTCAGTGTTCATACCTTATACGAGAGGTATCAGTGACATGTTTATTAATACACGCTTTCATGTGTATCTTTTCAAACTCATTTGTATACATACAATCATTTAAAAAATACACACTTTCCTCTTTCCCACAAAAACAGGATTGCATTATATGCACTAGTGTGTAGCCTGTTTTCTCATCTGCCGTTCTATTAGGACATCTCATTAGGACAGTACATGTGAGATCCATCTTATTAGGACAGTGCATGTGAGATCCATCTTATTAGGACAGTGCATGTGAGATCTATCTTGCCTTTTCTAACACTGAATACTCCATTAGATACTACTCTATCTAAACCCTAACGTTTAGACCATTTTTCAATGAAAGTATGTATCGCTGTTAGGAATGGTATTTTACTGCCCTGTTCAAGAATATCACATAACCATAGTAATGTTTTTAGTACATATTTTCAAATACAAGTAAAAACAGGGCATACAAATTTGGAACTTTAGATGAGTGGAGACTTGGTAATTAAGATTTTAATTATGACACTTCTTTCAAAATTAAGTAGAGAAACTGGGAAACATTCTGGAAGAGAAGAATGGACTTTAAAAATAAAAATGATATACACTTTGTTCCAAATAAGAAACTGATTTTAAAGAAATTTGGCAGCACTTCTGAATATACTCGTACCTTCAATGAAACCAAAACCTACCTTTTTGCACATACTGATCTGCATGACTGCGTAGCTGATGAGGGCCTCCTTTAAATCATGGTTCTTTTGTTCTTTGAAGCGTTCAATATCAGCCCAAGCATTTTTGACAAACTCTCTGAAATAAAGGGTATAGTCATCATTATTATTCTTATTTAAATTAAATAAACTACATATTATTAATTCAAATAAACACTTCTCATCTGAGTTGGGTTTTTGTCTATAAAGTGAGAGAAAAAGCAGACAGTCATACACTCTTCTACATTTTAATAGTCTCTTTTACCATGAATTCCAGCTTCAAATTATTCCTGTAAAACAGATGTAAATGGCTCCTTGAACCAACTTACAAGCCAACAGATGCCGCATGAACTTACCTGCCTGGAGTCACTGCAAAACATACAGTCTTTTCAACAAGATGGATTATGTATCACATTTATCATGTATTTTCTTTAAATGACAACTAGAGTTTTAAAAGTTCTGAGAGCCATTTGTCTTTTTTTTTAAACATGTGATCCATTTGTCTTTTTAACTCTGTTCATGAGTTAACTTTGACTTACTTGACACCAGCAGTTTCAAAAATTAACAAAACCACCTCCAAATCAGTGAAACTCTTAGTCTGCCTTGATCTACTCAACAACTGTCAAAACTGACAAAAACAACATGAAAAATGCGCCCAAAAGTCCATGGCAGATCTCTGAGAAGTGAATTTCTGAAAATATTTATGGAATAATTATATTCTAAGTCATATGCAAGGTGCTGGGACATAAAGATGAAGAAGACACAATCACTGTGTCTTTGAAGGGCTTGTAATTTAGCCAGAGACAGTCACACTGTACAAAGTGCCGTGGGATAAGGGCATTAACCAAGTGCTGTGACAGCCTGTGAGGATAAGAGAAGGCTTAACAAAGGAAGCAGTTCAAGAGCTGGGCATTGCAGAATGATGAGGCTTTTAACTGACAGAATAGAGTAGAGGAAATATGCAAAGGATAGAAATCATGTAAAGTGCAAGAAAATAATATTATGAAGTTTAAACACTTCCTTCTTCCCCTTTCCCCAACACTAACACAACTGTTTCTGTGTAACATGATTTTTGATTACTCAAATTTCTCAGGAATAGTCAATCACTGTATTTTAGAAGATTGAGGCTACATCCAGGGACTGATGAAGCTAGGAATCGTTATAAGCCACCTGCCACAGAGCCTAAAGTCTAGCCATGTTAAACATCCCAGCATTTTTACCTGCCTTCCAGATTTTTAGACTTAAGTTGTTGTTCTCCTTCCTTTATTTGTTCTTCTAGCATCTTTATTCTGGCTTCTCTCTGCTCTGGAGTTTCTTGACCGAAGAGCTGGGTAGTCACTCCCTTCAAAGAAAATGTTCTCACAGTCTAAAATGAAACAGAAACAGATGAATGGATAAATAACATCCATACACTGAAATATTTTTCAGTCTTAAAAAGGAAGAAAATTCTGACACACGCTACAATATGGATGAACCTTGAGGACACTGTGCTAAGTAAAATAAGCCAGTCACAAAAAGACAAATACAGTACAAGTCTACTTACATGAAGTATCCATAGTAGTATAACTTACAGAGACAGAAAGTGGAATGGTGACTGCCAAGGGCAAGGTGACGAGGGAAATTAATAGTTGATATTTAATAAGTACAGAGTTTCAATTTTGCGAGATGAAGAGTTCTGCAGGTTTGCTGTACAACAATGTAAATGAACTTACTACTACTGAACTTGAAAAATGGTTAAAATAATAAATGCTATGTTCTGTATATTTTACCACAAATTTTTTTTAAAGAGGACATAGTCATTTTCCCCCTACCTCAGACAGAACACCACAAACCATACAACCAAGGGGCTACTATTAAGGCTTATAATACTAGAAAATGTTGAAGAATCAAAACAGGAAAAATTTTAACTGAGCTTCTTCATCATATAGAAAACTTCCAGGTGAAATACTAGGCAAGTTATTTATGTCAGCAGTCATATTTTTTCAATTATTCTGTGATCATAAAAAATGGATAAAATTCAACAGGCAACAACGACAATAAACCAAACTGAAAAAACCATTTAAAATCTGCATAATTCACACTAAAACTTGGTTATCTATTAATAAAACAGAATGACTAAACCCAAGCCTCAAACGTCACCATCTCTTCACTCTCTGGAATTTACTGAAGGAAACGCTTTTCCCTGCAAATGCAGGAGTAGAGAGCCAAGCTCCCTGAAAATGGACTGGAAATTTCCCCTGGATTTTAAAAATAAATCAAGCCAGTGTGTATCTGCTTCATGGTCAAAGGTCCTTCCCCATGTATCTTCATGTGGGTAGCCCACAAGCACTTGTAAAAGTAAAGTGAAGTTGCTCAGTCGTATCTGACTCTTGGCGACCCCATGGACTGTAGCCTACCAGGCTTCTCCATCCATGGGATTTTCCAGGCAAGAATACTGGAGTGGGTTACCATTTCCTTCTCCAGGAGATCTTCCCACCCCAGGGTTTGAACCCGGGTCTCCCACACTGTAGGGAGATGCTTTACCGTTTGAGCCAGCAGGGAAGTCAAGGACTTGTTAACTATGAAATGACTTATAAACAGTGGCACTGTCACTGCTTCATTACTTCCAGATTGTGTGCTCTCACCATGACAGCTTATTTATTCCAATGAAATAGCTGGACAATAGAAAGCTGATTATAAAAATTATCTAAGTCTAATATAGTCAGATACAAAATTTTCTTCACAAGTACTCACTGTAAGGATTCAAGAATAAAGTACACAAAAAGTTCTCTGTTAGGAGAGAGGCACTGATTCTAACAGGGCAAAGTTTTTCAAAGTTAACTAAAATTTCTACAATGTAAGTGATAAAATTAAACCATGCAAAGGTCATTATTTCAATCCCAAAGAATAATGGTTTTTTCCACTTAGACTTAATCAGAAAAGAGATGGTCCTTATTACACAGTGCAATCTGGCAAAATTTCTTGTAACGCTATATATGTTTTAATGGTTGCTTTTTTTTAAGACTTAATTTTTTAAATTTAATTTTACTTTTTGGCCACCACAACGCAGCATGTGGGACCTTAGTTCCCTGACCATGGATTGAACTCGTGCTCCCTGCAATGAAAGCACGTAGTCTTAACCACTGGACCATCAGGGAAGTCCCTAATGGCTTATATCTTTTTATGTTAAGATCACAACCAAAAGAATTATAAAGTTGTCCACAAATTACTCCCCTTTAAAAGCTACAGGCATCCTGCAGCCCATTTCACTTAAGGTTCGTTATAATAATACCACAGACCCAAATGGAAAATAGCTCACCCCCAGTTGCCAGTTCCTCACACTGCTGCTTCTTGGATGCTAGGTCCTGAGCAGCCATCTCTAAGTCATACTGCATAAGTTCATGTTTCCTGCACACAGCCCTAGGAAAAAAATTTAATTTTTGCCATTTAATTTTTGTGGCCTCTCTAATTATTAACATGTTAAATTTTTCCCCAGGGAGTAAAGTGGAGGCATTCACGTACTATGATCAGAAGTTTTATATATAGAATTTTTAAGCTTAAAATGTAGTAGCCCAACATTAAAATGTAGTAGCCCAGATGGAAAACAACCTTTTTTGATTTATAAAGTTTTTATGCTTAGATTCTGCTAAATTAAATTTTTATCACATACATTTTTTAAAAAAGCTTTTTTTGTACAGCACTGGAACTAATGCTATCATCTCACATAACAACTGAATATTGTTTAAAAAGATTATCTCAAAGTTTTCTATTGAGAAATGTCTATTAGTTTTCATTATCATAAAAGTAATCCATGCTCACTAAAAAAAAAAAAAAAAGATTCTAATACAGGAATGTACTAAATAAGTTTCAAGAACACTTTCTTCTCCCTAGTTCTACTATCCAGACACAATTCATATTAATAGGTGGTATATATTGTTCTAGACTTTAACTAGGCATTTCTGAACTATATACCAAGGACACATTTCTTTATCAATATACATTCATCTTTTCTATAATCTTTAAGAGTTGCAAAGAATTCCATTGTGTTGAGCAACCTTCCTTTGGTAAAAGCCTGGTGTGACCTCTACTACTCAAAGCTCTAGAAGGAAAAAGGCTAACAATGTGATGTTTTCATCCCAGCTACTGAACAGCCAAAGGAATATTGTTCTTCTGTTTTATTAACAGAATTCTTACAATGATTTTAAAAGTGGCAGGAAAATGATTCACTTTTCTAAACTGGAATATCTCCCAGAGAATTCTGTTTGGCCCTGTAGGAGATACCACAAAAACAGAAGACAAAGTCCTGACGTTAAGAAATTTTACAATCTTACTAAGGAGATAAAATATGCAGGTATGGAAACGTCACAGAATTTAAAGGTAATATACAATCTAATGACAGATCATGATAACACACACTCAATGTGTACTTTGCTTCCAATCTCCAAGCTGGAAAAAGCAGAAAGAACAACATACAGACAGCCCTGAAGTCAGAGACTAACAGGTTTTATCAATATAATGTTTCAAATATAGTGACAGTGTTAAGTCGCTTAGTCATGTCCAACTCTTTGTGACCCCATGGACTGTAGCCCTCCAGGCTCCTCTGTCCATGGGATTCTCCAGGGAAGAATACTGGTAGGTTGCCATTTCCTTCTCCAGGGTATCTTTCCAACCCAGAGATCGAACTAAGGTCTCCTGCATTGCAGGCAGACACTTTATCATCTGACCACCAGGGATCAGGGTTGTCTTAAATTCCTACATATACACCATGGAATATTACTCAGCCGTTAAAAAGAATTCATTTGAATCAGTTCCAATGAGATGGATGAAACTGGAGCCCATTATACAGAGTGAAGTAAGCCAGAAAGATGAAGAACATTACAGCATACTAACACATATATATGGAATTTAGAAAGATGGTAATGATAATCCTATATGCAAAACAGAAAAAGAGACATAGATGTACAGAACAGACTTTTGGACTCTGTGGGAGAAGGCGAGGGTGGGATGTTTCGAAAGAACAGCATGTGTATTATCTATAGTGAAACAGGTCACCAGCCCAGGTTGGATGCATGAGACAAGTGCTCGGGCCTGGTGCACTGGGAAGACCCAGAGGAATTGGGTGGAGAGGGCCGTGGGAGGGGGGATCGGGATGGGGAATACATGTAACTCCATGGCTGATTCATGTCAATGTATGACAAAACCCACTGAAATGTTGTGAAGTAATTAGCCTCCAACTAACAAAAATAAATGAAAAAAAAAAAAAAAATTTCCTATGTCTAGCACTCTGCAACAGATAGGAATACAGTGAGATCTCATTCAATATCTAGGGGAAGGAATTCATTTAAAAATCACCTTATGCTCTTTATTTTAGAGTAACAGATGAAGAGAGTGTTGACCAGCCATAGGACTGCATCTGGAACATGTATTATACTTACCGCAATGCTTCTGCATAAAAAAGATACTCCTTTAACTGATCCGCATAATGTTCTTCATCTTCCAAAATATCATCAATAGAAGATGCATATCTGTTTAAAAAATAATGTATATAGTAACTTTTATCAAGACACAAAATATTAATATTCTAAAGAGGAGCTATTCAAAGCATAGTCCACTGACCATTTGCTACCCATGAATGACCAAAGTACAAAAAATCTGAATAAGCTTTTAGAAACATTTATAGCAACTTTTTAATTGAAGTATACTTGATTTGCAATACTATGTTAGTTTCAGGTATATAGCAAAGTGATTCAATTACATATTTCTTTCTTTCAAATTTTCCATTATAGGTTATTACAAGATATTAAATATAGTGCCCTGTGCTATACAGTATGCCCTTGTTACTTATTTTATGTAGTTTGTGCCTGTTAATCCCACACTCCTAATTTATCCCTCCCCCCAACAGCAATCCTTAATTACCATGACAATTCTACGGAATTTTACCAAAATGTGTTTAGCAAGGGCTTGGTGATAAAGCCCTTGCTTTTTAAAAGAACAAAGCAAACAAAAAAATTGTCCTTCTTAAGGTAGCTTAATGAGCACTGTAGTATCTTTTGTTAAATGTAGTATAAAAAGGGCTACAAAATCTGTAGAAAGAATAAGAATTTAGTATAATTGAAGAATTTAGTATCCCCTGATAGCAACTACATAAAGTCAAAAAGCTACAGAAGGAACAGTTGAGCAAATAAAGATCACAGAAAATTTTAGAAGCGTTATTTTACTCTAATTCTCAGTAGCAACCTCTGCTTTGATCTGGACAAGTCCCTCACTGTTGTGCCATTCTTGTTCTGAGTCTTCCTTTGCACAGAACTATAGCGGCTCTCCATACTGCCTTTCCAAATCCTCAACACCTCTAGAAATCTCCCCAGAGATTTCTTGTTCATCACTCTACTTCTGATCTCTTGTCAAAAACTGAGAACTTAAATCTTATCAAAGAAATGTCTCTTACAGGTATACGCATTACTGAGTCCCTACACTGTTCACCTCAAACTCTCAGAACACTGTTTGTTAATCGGCTATACTCCAATACGAAATAAAAAGTTTAAAAAAAAAAGAAATGTGTTGTGTTGGTTTTCTCTGATCACCAGGGCTTTCCTCGTGGCCCAGATGGTAAACAATCTGCTTGCAACACAAGAGACCCAAGTTCAATCCCTGGGTTGGGAAGATCCCCTGGAGAAGGGAATGTCTACCCGCTCCAGTATTCTTGCCTGGGCAATTAGATGGACAGAGTCCATGGGGTGCAGCCTATGGGGTCAAAAAGAGGTGGACACAACTGAGCAACAACACTTTCTCTGATCACATTATAAATTCCTAAGGACATGGGCTATGTCATTTATTATTTCTGTAGGGTATAAGTAGCATTCTTTTTTCAAATTAATTCTGATTCCTTAGCATGGGCATAAAAGAAAAATATACTTTATGTCTCCAAGCCTGCTTCTACATGTAGTTAAGTAAACAAGTTTACTGAATTAAAAAATAAACAAAAAATCTAAGTTAATGCTCACTGAAAAGCAACATGCTTATAGTATTTATGAAAGTAGGCAAAATACATATTCTGTAAATATAAATTTACATTTGTGAGAGTGTGGACTTTGTCCTATGTGACTGAAAAATGTCTTGAGAATGTTGTTAAGAGTAGGAATAACTGTCTGTAGTTCATAAATCTACGATTCTGGAGAAGTTAATGTTAAGAAAACAAAAAAGAAGGTAAGCGGCTGGTGGCTTGAAGATAGGAAACACAGTGTGGATAAAGAGGCAAGTGGTAAAGATGTTTTAGATATTAGTACTAAAACTAATTTTATTTAACATTTACATAAACCAAGTGAAGGGATAATCCCAAATTCCTGCAAATACTGAGACTGTCCTGTCAACAGAATGCATGAAGACAACAAAATAGTTGAAAAGCAGCTGGTCAGCTTAAACAATAATCCAAAGAAAAATGATATTTAAATAAAATAAATATTTTTGTCTCTTTGTTGATCAGTTGTAGGAGTTCTTTATATATTTTGGTTGGAAATGTTTGCTCCCAGTCTGTGGCTTGCCTCTTCACCATCTTAATGGGGTGTGTTTTTGTGTGTGTGGTAAAATGTAACGTAAAATTCACCTTTTTAACAATTTATTGGTGTATATAGTTCAGTGGCTTTGAGTACTTTCATGCTGTTGTGCAACCATTACCACCATTCATCTCCTGAACTTATCTTCCCCAACTGACTATACTCCTACATTCCTTCCACTTACAACAGAATTTTTTGATAAGCCAAATTTTTAATTAATTTTCTGTGTTTTTTGGCACAACATGTTCCCTACCCAGGGCTCAAACCAGTGCTCCCTGCACTGGAAGCAGGCCGTCTTTCCTGCTGGACGATCAGGGAGATCCCCAAATTCTAATTTTGAAGAACAATTTACCATTTTTAAAAGATTGTTTTTCCTTTCATGTCCTTTAAAAAAAATCTTTTGCTTACTCGAAGGCTGCTAAAATATTCTATTTTCTACTAAAAGCTGTAGTTTAAGGTTTTATATTGATGTATATCATCCAAATTGAATTAGCATTTATGTAAGATATGAGATATGGCTCAAGGTTCCTTTTTTTTTAAATGATTCACTTTTTAAAAAAATTACTCATTTTCAACAGAAAAAATAAAATTTATACAGAAAAAATCCTGTTAACTGCTAATAAAGACAGTTTTCCATCTTCCTTTCTATGCTGGGTCTTTGTTGCTGCATGGGTTTTTCTCTATTTGCAGAGAGCGGGGGCTACTCTCCAGCTGCAGTGCATGGGCTTCTCGTTGCAGGGCACGGGCTCTAGGGAATGCATACTTCGGTAGCTGCAGTATATCGGCTAAGAAGTTGTGGCTCCTGGGCTCCAGAGCACAGTCTCAGTAGTTGTGGCGCAGGGACTTAGCTGCCGTGTGGCATGTGGGCTCTTCCGGGAGCAGGAGTTGAACCGGTGGCTCCTACATTGTCAGGAGGACTCTCTAATGCTGATTCAAAAGGGAAGCCCTCAAGGTTTAGTTTTTTCTTCCTATGAAGATATCCAGTTATTCTAGAACCATTCTTGAAATGAGCTATGTAAATGTAGATCTATTTCCGAATTCTACCCTATTCCATGGATCTGTTTATCTCAATATTGCCTGATAACTATAGCTCTATAGTAAGTCTTGAAATCAGGTAATACATTCAACTTTGTCCTTTTTTTCAAGACTGTTTTGACTACTTCATGTTCTTTGAATTTCTACCTACATTTTCAAATCAGCTGATTAATTTCTATTAAAACTTACTGGAGGTTTGATTGGGACTGTCATTTAGGAAGAATGCTCAGATTAACACTACTGAGTCTTCCAATCTATGAACATGGTTTAATCTCACCTTTTATTTAGGTATTTAGTTTCTCTCAGCAATGTTTATATATAAAGTTTTCAGTGTAGACGTCTTCCACACTATTATAAACAGCATTTTTAAGCTTTTATTTTCTAATTTTACTAGTATGCAAAAATGTTCTTTTCATATATTCATTATGTATCATGCATTCTCATTAAACTCAGCTGTAAGCTCTACAGTATTTTTGGTTGACTATTTTCTACAGAAAAATCCTGTTGGAAGGAGCCAAGATGGCGGAGGAATAGGACGGGGAGACCACTTTCTCTCCTACAAATTCATCGAAAGAACATTTGAATGCTGAGCAAATTTCACAAAACAACTTCTGATCGCTAGCAGAGGACATCAGGTGCCCAGAAAAGCAGCCCACTGTCTTCGAAGGGAGGTAGGACAAAATATAAAAGATAAAAAGGGACTCAGGAGAGCTACGGACGGAGACCCGTCCCGGGAAGGGAGTCTTAATAGAGGAAGTTTCCAATCACCAGGAAACCCTCGCACTGGCGGGACTGGGGGAAGTTTTCGGCAATCTAACTGGGAGGAAAAATTAAACAAGGCCCACAGATTACGTGCCTAAAAGCAACTCCCAGCAGAAAAGTACCCCAGACGCCCGTACCCGCCAGCAACAAGCGGGGGCGGGACGGAGAGGAGCGGGCGGCATTGCTTAGGGTAAGGACCGGCCCGAAGACCCTGAGAGCAATCCGAGGGAGCTTTTTTAAACTGTGGGATAGCAAGGGTCAAAATTAACAGGCCCGAACACACTGCCGGCGGTTGGCAAAACAAAGGGCCTGAGAAAGTCCAGAGAAGAGCCGGCCCATCCCCGCTGGAGGTTGGAGGCAGGGCGGAGGGGAAAAGGGCAAACTCAGCCCCAGAGAAGCCACCCCCTCCCACACTGCAAACAGGCCCCCGGTTCCTATCTAAAGACTTCTGAGACCCGACTGGCGGTGCGCGCTGGGGCCGCGGAGGGAAAAGGCGCGCCGTACCCGGGGAGAGTGCGCCCAAGCCTCTGGCTGCCTGAGCTGCCCGCCGCGGCGGGAAAAGGCGCGCTGCACCCAGCGAGAGTACGCCCAAGCCTCTGGCTGCCTGAGCCGCTCACCGCGGAGGGACAAGGCGCGCCGTACCCGGGGAGAGTGCGCCCAAGCCTCTGGCTGCCTGGGCCGCTCAGGCCGGGGAAGGCACAAAACGCAGGCGCAACCGAATCTGCGCTTTTGTGGAGTACCTGAAAACTGGAACCGCACTCAACGCAGGGCCCGCTCCATATAGAGCAGCCGGGAGCCTGAGCAGTGTAGACGGCGAAAGCACTGACACCCGTGAGTGGGGCAAACCCAGTGTGACCGGAACACGGTGAGTGCTATCCACACAGAGGGGTATCTGTCTGCAGCGCCCCGCCCTCCCCGTAGCAGGACTAAACTGAACTAGAGAACCTAAATAAGAGATCACCTCCGCCCGCCTGTGTCAGGGCGGAAATTAGACACCAAAGAGACGGCAAACAGAAGCCAAATAAACAAAGGGAACCGCTTCAGAAAGGACTGGTGCAACAGATTAAAATCCCTGAAGGTAACACCGACTACACAGGAAGGGGCCTACAGATATCGAGAAGTGTAAGCTGGAAAGAGGAGCTATCTGAAATGGAACTGAACCTATGCTAACTGCAACA